AAGTTTCCTATTCACTATCGATCAACACCAGTTGAAAAACTTAATTGGCATCTACCAGGTAAACAGAATGTGATATAGAAAGATGGTGATAAAGTGAAACAAGTAGTCTCTCGGAAACTTATTGAGGATACTATGTTCCTTGCTTGGTTTGAATTGAACAAAGTAGATTCTGATGCGGAGAAACTAACCTACGCTCAAATTCCTACTAATTTTACTTATAATCAGAGACAGAAGTGTTTTAAACCACGAGAAAAAGGTTTTAGTATTGGTAGAATTAATTATGCTCCACGGAAGATAGAATCTGCATATTACCTTCGTGTTCTTCTAAACGTCGTTAGAGGTCCTAAGTGTTTTAAGGATATGAAAACTTTCAATAAAGTTGTGTATCCTACATACAAAGATGCTTGCTACGCCAGAGGTTTGCTAGAAGATGACCAAGAGTATATTGATGATATTGTTAGAAAGAGTTTTATGTGCAGTCCATCCGAGCTTCGTCAGATTTTTTGTATTATGCTCAGTTCTGATTCTCCTGAAGTTGTTTGGTATAATACATGTGAATTTCTTTCTGATGACATAGAATTCAAGAAAAGACAAGAGTTAAATAGGCCAGGTATGTATGTTAGACAGAACAACTTAGTTATTGTATCTTCAATATATTTGAAATGTAACTTTTTATTATTATATTTCAGGTATGATTCTAAGCGATGATGAGAAGAAAATGTTTTGTCTTCATGAGATTGATAAGATTCTGAAAAGTAATGGTACTTCGTTGGGAAGATTTGAATATGTGCCTAAGTTGTTGCCAAATGGTAGTCAGAGTTCTAATGTTTTAATCGTTGATGACCTAAGTTACAACAAAGAAGAGTTGAAAGCAGATCACGATAGGGACATCCAGAAGCTTACAGATGAGCAAAAGAAAATATATGATGAGATCATTGGTGCTGTAAAACGTGATTGTGGTGGAGTGTTTTTTGTTTATGGTTTTGGTGGAACTGGAAAAACTTTCTTATGGAGAATTATATCTTCTGCTATCAGATCAAGAGGAGATATTGTTCTCAATGTTGCTTCAAGTGGAATAGCTTCTCTGTTGTTACAAGGTGGCAGGACTGCTCATTCAAGGTTTGGCATCCCTTTAAGTCCTGATGATTTCTCAACATGTACAATGAAAGCTGGCTCTGATCTTGCAAATTTTGTCAAGCAGGCATCGCTTATAATTTGGGATGAAGCGCCCATGATGAGCAAACATTGTTTTGAATCTCTGGATAGAAGTTTACAAGATATTATTGGGAAGAAGGAGAATAAACCTTTCGGTGGAAAAGTAGTGGTTTTTGGAGGTGATTTTAGACAAGTACTTCCAGTTATTCATGGTGCTGGTAGGGCAGAAATTGTTTTAGCATCGCTTAATTCTTCAAATCTTTGGGATCATTGTAAAGTGATTAAGTTGACGAAGAATATGCGGTTGGTTTCTGATAATCTATATATTAAAGAAGCAAAGGACCTTAAGGATTTTTCAGAGTGGATATTAGCGGTTGGGGATGGGAAGATTTCTGAGCCTAATGATGGTGAAGCTCTAATTGACATTCCAGAAGAGTTTCTTATTCTAGATTCAGAGGATCCTATAGAATGTATAAGCAGAAAGATATATGGAGATACTGCATCACTCCAAGAGAACAAAGATCCTAAGTTTTTTTCAAGGAAGAGCAATTCTTTGTCCTACGAATGAAGATGTCAACATGATTAATGAGCATATGCTCGATAAGCTAAATGGTTAGTGATCGCTTAATCATATCTTTTCGATTTCATTTTACATTGACATGTTTGTATTTAATTTTTTTATGATGCGTGTATTTTCTTCTTGAACTAGGGGAGGAAAAAGTATATTTAAGTGCAGACTCTTTAGATCCTTCTGATGCTAACGCAGCTAAAAACGATGCACTTACTCCAGATTTTTTAAACAGTATGCGAGTTTCTGGATTACCTAATCACAATATTCGTTTGAAGATTGGTTGTCCTGTTATGTTGTTGCGGAATATTGATCATATTGGAGGATTAATGAATGGAACTAGACTGCAGATTACACAACTAGCAGATTTTATGGTTGAAGCAAGGGTTATAACGGGAGAGAAAATTTGAGTTAAAGTTATTATTCCTAGAATTTTAATTACTCCTTCAGATGCCAAATTTCCATTTAAAATGAGAAGAAGGCAGCTGCCCTTAGCCGTAGCATTTGCAATTACAATCAACAAAAGCCAAGGTCAGTCTCTTTCTGAAGTTGGTATCTTTTTGCCTAGACCTGTTTTTTCTTATGGACAACTTTATGTTGTCATATCTAGAGTTACATCTAAGAAAGGCCTTAAGATTTTGATTGTTGATAAGGAAGGAAAACCTCAAAGAAAGACTATGAATGTTGTTTTTAAAGAGGTTTTCCAGAACCTATGAAGTTCTAGATGTTGGTAACTCATGGTTGTAGTTACTTAGTTGTTTTTTTGATGTTGTTTTAAACAAATGAGTCTTATGGATGAACAATATTCCATAATTACTTTGTCCAGTTTTCACTACTTTCAATTCAGTTTTTGATTATTTTTTATTTATAGTTTAGATTGTTATTAGTTTTCTTATATCATCGAGATACTTATATTAGTATATATATATTTTATATAATAAATTTATATTTTATAATAACGATCAACCTACGACATCTATATACTATAACTAATATTAATAAATGTTGAATTATTACCTTATTTTAAAACTGAAGAAGTTGATCCGTGGCTTTGTCTTTATTCTGCTGATTTCCTTTTCAAGCTTGACGATCTGTAACAAAGACTTATATTAGTTTATTAGTTAGAGGCAAATATATAATCAAAATAGTGTTAACAGAAATATTTAGACTTACGATATTATTAGATGATGTAATCTAAGTATTTTGGAGTCTGTTACGTTGTTTCAATATCTTTTTTCTTCGGAGATCTTCTGACAAAAACATTCCATTTTAGTAATAATCGACGAAGCTGGAATAAATTATTTAATGGATTTACTATTTATCCAAACATTAGGGAATAGACACTTATCTGGAAAATGTCGTGTTTGAATATCTCCTCCTGTGTTTCTTCAAACATTCGTCTTCATTGTTTTAAGCATAATGTAAATAGCAAATCAATTAATAGATTATCTAAAATGATATGGTCTACAATGAGGAACAAAAATTAACATTTCTTAATAAAAATATACGTGATATTACCTGTTTTTTAGCTGTCCTTGTTGCTTAATTCCAGTTATTCATGCCAAAATTGTATGTCATCCGAAATCAAGTTAGCTTGAAAATGAATCGAAGTAATCATGGTTTCACCAAAAATTTAATCACATAAGAGATGAATAATTGTTAAATCCTACTGTTTCTGGAACGAGAACAACTATTAAGAACTCAACTTACCAAATTGCTCGAAAGTTTCCCCAAATCATTGACTCGCTGCAATCCAACCTCATCACTCTCTCTAATCTCTGTGGAAATTCGTCGGCCGTGTTGAAATCTGATGATAACAGCGATTTATTGATGTAGGATTCATGATTTCAGATAAGGATGAGGTTTTTCGATTTGATTTGTTTTCGATCAACTTTTTAGGGTTGCTCTCGAGAGAAGACTGATGAGATGAGATTTTCAGACATGGAAAATGTCTGTTCGACTGCGTAAGAAAAGAATTGTGCCTGGGCCGATTAATTTTCGTCTGGTCCATTTTAGATAACACAAAAATAAGTGTGTGCAAAACTTGGCCCATAGCATATATCAAATAGAAAATGTTGGTACAGTAAAATTTGTCAACTTATTTGGGCCACAGTTAAATTAGTATCTTTTTTGACCCAAAGATTCAACAAGCCCAAAAAAAATTTTGTTGACAAAAAACCCGCGATTGGCAGAGATCCTTGGGTATTATAGTAAAATAAAACTTTCCATTGCGATTTTAATCTTTGGCCATTGTGACTGATGACAATAACATCAAATGTTTCATACGTTCAAAAGTTTAATTAGTATTTACTTCAATTTATGATTCCCTTTATTAAAAACAATATATGAAGTTTCTCAAGTAACGATTCTTGAATCCAAGTTAGAAACAAACAAAAAAAGATCCTTGAATCCATCAAGGGCTTTAGATTTGCACTATTTCCATGAATTAGACAAAAAAAATATTCTTGATTCCAAGTTAACAACAAACAAAAAAAGAACAAGAAGACAAAGTTGTGCTTTTAATATGAACAAAACGGCATCATTTGATCATTCCGTCAACATATATATAGCGTGTTTATGATTTCTCGTTTGGAATTTTTATTTATCAAAAAATTGATTTCATTTTGAACTATTTGCTAAAGTCAATAATTTGTTTTTAAATATAATTTTCTTTCATGTAATTTATTAAATAAACAATGTTTTGAATGGAAAGTTTTTTCTTTTTTAAATAGAGTTTAATTTAGTTTAAACGTTTGAATTTTTAGTTTTTATTATTTATATTTTAAAAATCAAAATAAACTAGATTCTCTATCAGAATGACAAACGTAGAATAACAACTACATAAACCTAATTTCATTAATTAATAAGATAGAATAACGTTCTAGAATCTTAGAATCACAACCACTACCATTACAATATCAACATCTAAAAAAATCTTCATGCCTTAGAGCAACTCCTTAATTCTTACATTTACCATTCTTTTCTCATTTACTCTACCATTCTTTTCTTTTCTCTATTATATGACACAAAATTCTTTGTAAGAAATTGCAAACAAAAACTATATGGGCTTGTTGGCCCATAAGAGCTCACCATAAACGGCGGCCACCTCCTTCACCGCCACTGCTGTCCTTAAAACCTCAACAACGTCAAACTCTTTGTTACTGTATCGTCTCGGAAGATGTCTCGGATTTCAAAGATTTAACTCTGTTTCCCTCTCTCAACATTCACCAAGAAATTCTCCTCATTTCAAGCTACTAAATCGGTTATCGATAAAGCGGCAATCGATGGGGAGGTAAGAGTTTTCATCGTCTCCGGCGAAGTTTCCGGCAATAACATCGGCTCTCGTCTTATGGCTTCGCTCAAAATGCTATCTCCTTTACCTCTCCGTTTCCATGGAGTTGGAGGGTAAACAATTGGATTTTCCCAGATTAAGTATATTCATAGATTCTTTCGATTGAATTTTGGAAAAGTTTGTACCTTTGGTTCTAACAAATTGATGTTTTTATACGGTAAGATAATTGATGTCCAAGCAAGGATTGACTTCGTTGTTTCCTATGGAGGATTTGGCTGTAATGGGCGCGTGGGAGCTTTTGCCGCATTTGTATAAATTCTGTGTGATCATGTGATAGTTCATCTTCATGATTATATTTGGTTAACAACTTTTCTTGATTTCTCATTGGTCTTGAACATTTCATGATGAAGCAAACTCCACGGTCATTTCGATTCTACCAGGGAGCAGATTACAAGAAATCGCAAGAATGCTACCAATATTTTCCAAAGCAATGAAATGAATCTACTCAAAGACTCGTTCCAAAATCTAGTAACGCTCATACACGTCACATCTAATAGTCAAGTGGATCATCACATTGGAGAATCCCTCTGTGAATGGCCGGTTCCAGTCATGCTAGTCCCTACTGGATCCACTCAGCTTAAATATGATGCATTTGCCGTAAGTCTCTCTCTCTCTCTCTCTCTCTCTCTCTTCAGACTTCAATCTTGCTCCTCTCATTGTCCGGTTTTTCATACTTACAGGCGAGTCAACCTGCGTTTGAGTTGCAGCTTGCTCAATTACCTTCCCTTGTCGCATACCAAGCACATTTTCTAACGGAGCTATTGATCCGTTACAAAGCCAAGCTACCTTACATATATCTCCCAAACATTCTCCTGGACTCACCAATCATCCCTTGAAGCCTTGTTCCAAGCCTGCAACCCTTCGAATCTCGCCTCGATACTCGAGTAACTATATTTTGTTTTGAATTTGCTATCTACAAATGGAGATGATGATGATGAATGTGTGGAAATTTGTAGGAGACTTCTCTTGGATGAAAAGATGAGAGAAAAGCAAGTTGTTGCTGCTGAAAAGTTGATACGCCTCTTGAATCCATCAGAAAGCAGAATGAGAAACTCGATTCGTTGCAGTGATTTTGAATATACACCAAGCTATTTAGCAGCTTCAACTAGCAGCTTCAACTATTCTAAGTTATGCTAAGCGTTGAAGCTTAATTGAGAAGAATGATCCTTGCTTCCAACGCTAACGTTTTAGGTCATTACATTGTCATTGCTTGTTGTTTCGGTAGTCCATCCTTCAATTCAAAGGACCCTCCCTTGCTAAATATTTTCACCAGCTTATGTCATTACTGTTGTCTTATCTTATTATAAAAATAATTATATGAATAAATATGCTATGTGTGGATTGTGTAATCCATTTTTTTATTATGAATTGTTGGTTTTTAGTACTTTGTTTTGAACTATTTTATTTTTCATTTTTCATTGTAGGGGTTGCATTGTATGGTTGTTATTTTTCTTTTCACGGGTAACCATAGAATCAGTTCATTAATAGCAATTTATATTAATATATAATTGAAAAATAAAAATATAAGAAATGATCTGTTTAGTTTTTGTTCCATTAAAAAATAAAATAGAACCATGAAATCAAACCTTTATTTAAAAGTGAATTATTTACATTGTGGTTTATTAATTTTTTTATGTTCTTCGTATTCATCAGCTTGTTTTTGGTGAACTGTATAACACATTTTTGAAGATGGGTGATACATACTTGAACTTATTCTCATAAATTTTAAAAAGAGTAGTCAGTTTATCATGCAAATGTTTTAATCATTCTTCACAAGTTCCATTATGAAATTTTTCGAAATAAAATTCTGCAAGAGTCAATTTGAATCTTGGATCAAACACAATAACCATTACAATAATATCATTATATTCTTCCCCGTACTTGTCATACTTCTGTTGCATAACTTAACCATGTTTCTAATAATCCCAATTCTATGAGTTAGCATGATATTTCAACCAAATTTAAATCTTCCAAATTTGCATGAAGTATAAGTTTAAATTTGGATAAGTTAAACCTGATATAAGACGCGTAATTTTGTCAAAAGGCTCCAAAAAATCATAAATTCTATTTCCTACTATCCATTCATCTTCTGTTGGGAAAAACTTGTAGTTCTTTGAGTCAATAATTTTCCGATTAACAAAAGTAGGTCTATATATGACCGCCCTCTCTAGCATATGGTGTTGAATTCCATCGAGATTACACATCCAATATCAAACGAGCATGTGATTTTATTCCAACTCTTTCAATACATTTCCCAAACAGAATTTCAATAGACTCAGAAGCTGCAACATACTTGATGCCCTCCCTAATATTAGTCAAACAATCATCAATTAATCAAACAATCGCCAATCACTTTCAGTCCATCTTGAACAATAAGGTTAATAATATGGGCTGAGCATCTGACATGAAAAAACTCTCCTCCACATAACAAATCATTTCACAACACAAGCTGTGATTTCAAAAATATATTGCATTTTGTCATTGCTAGTAGCATTATCTAAAGTTATAGAGAACAATTTTTTTTTCTATTCTCCATTCCTTAAACTTTTCAAGAAGCTCCATAGCTAAGTACATACCTGTATGTGGAGGCTGGAAAAGGAAAAAATCTTATTCTGGAATTTCCAGTTGGTATCCACATAATGTGCTGTCAAGCACATGTAGCTGTGATGAGTGATAACAGACCATAAATCAGAAGTGAAACAAACCCTTCCTGAAAATTAAGCTAACTCTCTCTTTAACTTGGCTGTCTCATTCTCATAAAAATTATAAACATCACTCGCAGCTGTGTTTCAACAAATGAACTTGACATCTGCATTCAAATACTTCCACACTGATCTAACTCTCTCATACTCAACATATGCATATGGTAGATCATGGTGGATAATACACTTAGCTACCATTTCACAAAAAACTAAATTTGCATTTACATTGACCAACATCACCATTTCTAACCATAAGTTTGCATTTCTCAAGATGGCATCTTAAAGTGGTTGTACCGTCTTTGTGTGACTCATGCGCGTAATCCTTTTTGCAATGCCTATAGGGTGCCTTTTGTACAGCCTTACCTAACTTTTCAATCTTATTTATCACTGTATAATGCGGCCATACATCTGAATGTTGCTTCTTCTTCTTTGGTTCAGGAGACTTTCCTTTATCATCATCAACTTCAGTCTCATGCGCAGTTCGTTTTTTGTTTGTTGCACTCACTTTCATCAAACATTGCTTGTTCGTGGTCTGAATTCAATTCATCAATAAGTCTCTAAGATTCAAAATCTACCGATTACGAACTCTCTGAATTCTGTAAACAATTAAACGACATTAGTTAGTACACTACAAACAGACATGAAAAAGATTTACTAGTAATGCATTGACATATCTATTATTTTAGAAACTGACAACATAATTAAAAAATACTCAAAACAATAAATCATCCATTATAAATTTACTCAAACAAAAAACTTACAAAGTTCTCCATAATGAAGAGTTGAACACTTGAAGTAGTGATCTTCTCTGTCTCTCTGAAAATCATGTGTCTCTCTCTTTGGAAAAACATAGATTGGTACGGATAGAGTTAACTGATAGTGATAACTCTATTTTGTTTACAAAGTTTCTTCAAGTTTTCTTTAATCGATTGCTATTCTGATTGTTTAGTTTGGTTTTGTGGGGTAGAAACCATATGGTTTACTATATTATATTAATTAATACCTGTGAGCCTAATTATATATTTAAGAATAAATTATATAGAATCATTAACAAAACATAATGATCCGCAGTACATACCCATAACAGTTTATCCTGCCCAACCCAAACACCACAACGGATTGGACCGCGAGACACCCCCCCCCCCCCCAGCCCGTTTGATATCCCTATATTTGTGTGAGTGGACAAATGTATAGAAACACCAATTTTGTTACAATTTTATGAAGTTAAAACACATCCATGTATTTATAACTATTTCATCCAAAATCGTAATTTTAATCATATTAATTGTTGGGATATTTCTTTAAATAGTTCGTTCTGCAAATTTAATAACAACAGGGAATCTGATAGGGCTCAGGTTTTACCCAAATAAAACTACTGCAAGTGCACAGCAAAAGCAGTTATCGTACAAGGGGTATCGAATCCCAAAAGAGTAATGCAGTCTACACTATCAAATGTAGGTTCGGGTTAAGCTAAGCAGAATGTAATGTATGTAATTCGAATGATAGAATTAAAGTAAGCAAACGAAATTGAAGTTGTTGATTTAAGTTTCAGAAGACTAAAAGCGTTAAGTCAGGACAGTTCGCAGCTTGAATTCAAGAATGTAGAATGCATGAAATCATGAATGATTAAGAACCGTTTTGAACATGAATCACTGATATATAACTAATCAATTTTCATTGCAGAAGTTATCTATGCCTAAATCACAGAGTTTCAAATCTCTTTGCAAATCCTATCAATCTAAGCATGCAGTAATGATTAGGTTCAATTGTTCACAAAACTCCTAAGCCAAATCTCTTTGCACTAAGTTGTTTTGTTCATCAGATACTAGTTCAGGTTATCAATAATGCTCTCACATATATTTTACAACCTATGATTTTCGGATTTCTAGATGATGTGTCTAAGAAATTCGATTTTAAAGCAAGCACAGATGAAAAACCAAAAGATATTCCTAACTGGTAGCGATTCTACTATCTCTTCATCAACGTTTGAAAAAGCCCTAACTTAACTAACAAATTACTCAGACATGATTATGGGATCACAAAACATAACTGAATAAAATTGCATTAAGAGAAAGAGTAAAAGAATAAGGGGGTTCAAAATCTTCTCAAAAGAGTACAGGATCTGTCTCCCCAAAAAGCTCTGAATAAATCTCTCTCTCAAACTCTCTAAATTGTAAAATCTAAGATAAAACCCAACAATGGCTGAAAAACCTAATAAATAGAGGCTAAACACGATCTGGAGCCTTCTTGCAAATACTAGAACTTATGGGCTAATTTTGCAAATAATCTTCATATTTTTAATAAACAAGTCACGCTCCTTCCTTGGTGGGTGACGGGCGTCACCAAGAGTGGTGACGAGCGTCACCATATCGCATACTTTCTTCTCCGAGCTAGGCACTTCGTGGCTTCAACTTGAAATGCTCCAAAAGGCTCCAATATCTCCAAATATGCTCCAGACATGCTATAACCTGCAAAGACTCTTCTAGGACTCTAAAAAGACCAAAAAGACTCAATAAAAAGGACTTATATCATGGTTAAAAACCATAAAAACCATGATATATCAGAATCCCTCTTTGGAAAAATTGTTAGAAGTGTTCCAATTTATACTAAAAGTACCGTTTAACAAAAATTTACAAAATAATAAGAAAATTACCATTTCTTTATCAATTATCCCTAATAAATTGATAAATGTTTATATTGGAACCGCTAAACCAAAGGACAGGCTTTTCATATATTTACAAGTGCTGCCACCTTATTCTCAAATCTAGGATGCCCTTGTCAATCTGCTATGCTAAACAGACATGTACAAACCAAGTTTCTCTAGTGATAATCAAACTATGACACGTCATGTTGAGGTCTTTGGCAAATCGTCAAAAGAAAAACTACGGCATGTCGTGATTAAGTTCAACTAGCTAAATCATGACAGGATAAAATAGTAGTCAAACGTAAAGTGAATCTGCACAGCCTCGACTTCTCACCTGCGTCCGTGAGATGCCTGTCTAACCTTTGTGCCTCGTCAAACATGGGATGCCCTCGTCTTCTTGTCTTGTCCCACAACCCAAGTTTCTCTGGTGACTATATGACATTTTTGCAACTTTTTCCCGACGTGCAGAAACTACGGCACGTCGTGATTGATTCAACTGGCCAAATCGTCACATGATAAAACAGTAGTCAAAGGTAAAGTGAGTCTGCGCAGCCTCTGCTTCTCACTTCCATCCGCGAGATGCCTGTCTAACGTCTGTGTCTCGTCAAACATGGGATGCCCTCGTCTTCTTGTCTTCTTGTCCCACAACTCGAGTTTCTCTGGTGACTATATAACATTTTTGCGACTTTTTCTCCACGTGCAGAAACTATGGCACATCATGATTGAGTTCATCTGGCCAAATCGTGACAGGATAAAATAGTAGTCCAAGGTGAAGTGAGCCTGTGTAGCCTCTACTTCTCACTTTCGTCCGCGAGACATCGGTCTAACATTTGCGTCTCGTCAAACATGGGATGCTCTCATCTTCTTGTCTTCTTGTCCCACAACCCGAGTTTCTCTAGTGACTATATAACATTTTTGCAACTTTTCCCCACATGCAGAAACTACGGCACATCGTGATTGAGTTTAACTGGCCAAATCGTCACAGG